AGGATTCAAGAAATTATAGCAAAACCATTAAAACATCCTAAGTCAGTTTAATTGAATCAAGACATTCGCGAAACCCAAAGTCGGCGGACCTTTGGGTTTCCTAATTAAGAAGACAATCATTCATCCTTTTGAAAGGTAGTTTGGCACCAAAGACAATGGCCTCAATATTGCCTTGGCAGATCCGCTCTCAACTACTCAATTTTTGACCTTGGAGGTTGGACTTCCAGAGCTCCTGAAAAGGATTCTTAGATTCCTTTGGGTGAGATACTAACCGAAATGAGACAATCCAAACTGTTCTGCTTCAAGGAGGTCTGAATAACCCCTTGAAGCAAGGGGGCAAGAGAAGCATATATAAAAAAAATAACTAAGAGTCGGATGTGCATTTCAAAACCAAAGTTGCAGCTCAAGATGCAAGCTCAGAGTTACCAATAGAGGTTATAGAAGTTACAATTCAAACTCAGAGTTACACACCAAAAAAAAAAGTGTATATCCTAAGTTCCTAAAGGTGGAGTAGGTAAAGGGTTCTGCAGCTCAATTGTTAAAGTCTCAACAATAAGAATAGGAAGAGAGCTTGGGAGCTTGGCAGCCAATGCTCCTGAAAGCTCAGCAGGTGAAGTGTCTGACAGACTAAGAGCCGAGGTCGCTGGAAGAGAAGGGGCTGGAAGCTTGGTAGTCGAAGGCCCAATAATTTTTTGAATCAGGAAGCGAGTTCAGGGCCAGAGCAATAAAGACAAGGTCTGCCGAGAAGGGAGCAATCCCGGGGGCTACGGTAGAAGTCGCAAGGAGCTCAACAGCCATTGGAATAGGGGAAATAACAAGGGGAAAAGCTATGGACACCTTAGCACCTTTAGAAGGCGGGGGGAACTTGGTGCTGGCCTTAGGGCTGTTTGCCTCAACCACCTCTTCGTTAGGGAAGTCAAAATCAAAATCTTGGCCAAGGTATGTCTTTTCGGCCATGTCTTGGAAAGCAAGCCATCTAGTGACCCACTTAGTAGTGATATCATCCCTCAGCTTGGCTACGCCATCCTCCAGCTCAACTATTAGATCATCCTTCTGATTAACGATAGCCTTCTTTTCCTCAAGCTCCTTCCGTATGACATCGTTCACCTCTGATAAATTGTCATACTCTCTTTTCATGTTCTTAAAAGAGCGAATGGCTTCATGGGTCTCCTCACAAGGTTTGACCCAAGCATCGTTCTTAAGCTCAAGCTCCTCTCTGATCTTCCTCTGCTCCCTCTCAACCCTCTCCTTCTCAGTTTCCAGACTTTGGATAGTAGTAACTTGCTTTTCCACTTGCTCTTGAAGTTCCTGGTTCTGAATGTGAAGATCTTCATTAACAAAAGACAATTCAACGACTTTAAGCTCATAAGCCTTCGTGACCTTAGCCGAGTCTTCCAGAGATTGGATCCTGCCCATCAAGCCTTTCACATGGAGAGCGAGCTGAGAGCAGACAACAAGAAAATAGAGGTCAACATCATTTATGACGTATATAAAAAAAAAAAAGAGGGAGAAAAATGGGAGAGTAGGTATTTACAGCAGCTGCTCCACGAAGAGCTGAGCTGATAGAAGTCTCGAGGGACATGATGGAGGCTCTTTCAACATCAGACTCAGGAAGAATAGAGCTAATGACCCCAACAGTGAGCTCGATATTGTCAAAGAAAGAGCCCTGGTCACTTTCCATTTTAGGGCTTTTCCCCTTCTTAATCCTGGAGCTCTCTTGACATGACAAGAGAATCCTTTCGGGTGATGCCAGAGAACTAGGAGTGGGTAGAACTCGAGTAATCATCCCCAAGGCTCTATCAATCTCAGAAGAGGTAAGGGAGGTCTGCCCTCGCTCAAGAACCTCATTGATAAAGAACAGAGATCTCCTAAGGGAAGAACCCTCTGTAGCTTTATAGAGTGGATGAAAGCTGGATGATCAAGGGTGAAGTTGGAACAGTAAAGTTGGGGGGGGGGGCACACTCTTTTTTGGCACTTTGGTTGGAGGAGTAGTTTCGCTGCCAGAACCAACCTCAGCCTTGCGTTTACCCCCATTCCTGGTCTTCTTTAATTGGGAAAGCTTAGCTTGGAGCTCTGTTGTGGAAGGCTTTATTGCGGAAGGACCTAAAAACCTAGTACAAGTAAAAATATAAATAAACAAGGTACAAGAAGCGAGGGTGACGGTCAGAGTTAGATAGTTTAGGGTATTACCAATGACCTCCTCTACACTTACAACAGAAAGGGGAATCGGGGCTTCAATTGTAGTCTCAGGGAGACTGAACCCTTGCGCTACGAGAACCCAAGGCTTGATGAGCTCAGAATACCTCTCTGATTCACAGCCCTCTAGGGACAACAAGACTTGCTTGTCAATAGAGCTGAGTTCAGAGCGAACACCTAAAAAAAAAACACAGAATATGAGAAACAAAAAGATATCAGCACAGAAAGCTACTGAAGCCGACCCTAGCTCACTTAGATTTGCACTTACCCAAGTTATCAGGGGCTTTCTAGGCCCGAGGGACTGGAAGAGAATTTGAACTGTCCATAGGGTTGTATTCCCATTGATCGCCCCCCACGAAGAAAAACAGTTTTCTCCAGCCCTTGTGAGAGCTTGGAAGGTCGGTGATGATTACTTTGGCTTTAACCCATTTAGAGATATACAAGAAACCATCAGAAAATGTATACTTAACATTAAAACACTCCATGAGCAGAGAGACAATGGGGACCCCAAGTTTATGCTTCTTAAAGAAAACAAGAAGACCCACCAGAACACCCCAGAAGTTAGGGGAGAGCTGAGTAGGGCAAACATTAAAATACTACAAAACACTCTTGATGAATGGGTGCATAGGAAAGCGAAGACCGTTTTCAAAGTTGGCCACGAAAAAATAAACTTTTTTGTGAACTTGGGCGACGTATGAGGTAAATTTATCTGGACACCAGTATTAGACACCAAGAGGAAAGCTAAAACGAGCGTTAAGAGCTTTCATAAAGGGAGGAGAGACCTCACTAGAGCTCATAAGTTCTGCAGTTCTGAAAGCAGCACCTATACCCTCAGCATTGCCTGAGATACCAATTCCGCTCACCTTGGTCTTACCCTTGTTAGGATTTTTGGGAACAGGGGTGGAAGATGAGGGAATACCCTCAGCAGTTCCCTCGATATCAGCAGAATCAACATTGGGGAATTTATCAATCTCCTCACCCACATCACCTAAATCGGAATCTTCCTCGACAGACCTGCTCTCTAGAAGGGAAACAGAGGAGGGGGTAGCCCTAGAAGAAGCAGACATAGTTGGGCAAGAGAAAGGGAGTCTGAAAGTACAACAAAGGGAAGGAATGTTTGCAAAACACTCTCTAAGAGTCAGGGGCAACATAGCAACTGATGATAAGAAAAACCTTGGCAGTTGAATAAGGATCTAAAAAGAGGGGAATACGAGACAAAGATCGCCCCCAATTCCTAAAGTAACAGAATCAAAAAGTCCAAAAATACAGAAACCACCTCAGACTTGAGGGATCTAGAACGAGGAGATGAAGAGAGAGTAAGAAGCGTGCCTAAGTGAGGATCGACAGTAAACCAAGGCTTGAAATGAAAACGAGGAGCAAACTTCATTCAAAACCACGGACTAAATCAGGGAAAATCGGTTTCTCAACAAAACCCCAGAGGCACCAACAAAATCAAAAAATTTGGGATTGTAGGAAGAAGATAGGGAAAAGCCTGGAGAGGGAGTTTAAAAGGCAAAATGAGTCGTTTCCCTCCACTCAGAGGCATTTAAAGCTAACGTTAGAAAGTGGGGATCGTGCACAAGAAATAATAAAAAAAATGAAATGATTACTGATAACCGTCAAAAATCTATTTACGCGTAAACCGAGGTCAACATATGGAGGTCTGCCCTAGTTAAGTGTTAGCTCAGCCCTTACCCAAGCCAACTTGGTCAAGAGTTGGGGGGACAACTGATGATACATAAAGTAACTTCCAAAGTGTGAGCTAGGCGCGGAGGTTGGACAAGGAGGTCAGACAAGACACGCAAAGCTCAGAGGACCAGAGCTAGAGCTCATCCCAGACGAGACAGTAGCGAGAATGATAAGGGAACAACTGGGTGTTAATAGGAACCCTACTGGTGGCAAAGAGTCATATTTAAGGCACAAAATCCTCAACCGACCAAGATATTCTCCAAAAATTAAGGAGGAATCCACGGATGAAAGGCTAAGATCTCGGCAGAAATCCTATAGAACAAGGAACAACTCTATAAATACTGTATAATACCTCCAATAACGGAAGAGGATCCCTGATGGCCTGAGAGGTAGACTGTAAATTTCATCACCATTTATTGAAACAAAAGGGGCAAAAATCTCTATTAAAGAGTTGATTAACTGAGCTCCCGAGCTGGTAAATCACTGTATTTTCATTGTATAATTGCCTCCAATCCCTGAAATTCTTTGTTACGATCCTCACGAGCCTAGGAGCTCAAACCCAAGTTGCCAAGTATAATATCGACCTTCTGCTCGTCCACGATAATTAGTTTCCATGGATTCTGACCCCATTTTTGTTGCCAGTTTTGACCGGAACAATGCCCCTCAACCCAAATAGCTGTCTATAATATCTGAGAATTATGTTTTGTTAAATTCCAGGAGATCAGAAAAGCATGCAGATAGAATGGAAGATTACTTGCTAAAACCTACCATAAGTGCGACATCCGAAAAGTTGTCTGATTGTTTTCCCAAAAGCTAAATCTCCGAAAAGTAGACAGCTGAAAATTAGTTAGATACTGCAGGGAAAATGGGTATTTGGCGTTTGCTCAAAGGTCTTGGATGCCAAAGTATATTTCCAAGTCTGACGACATTTTTAAAGCTTACAACAATGATTGCATAGAAACAAACATATAGAAAAGGGTACTTCTATTTAGTTCCGAAAATACTGAAATTGCATCTAATAGATAAAGGAAGATTACTCTTCTTTTTTTCAATTTTTTTTCCTGGAGAAAAACCTTCTCACAAACACTTCACAAAATCATCCTATAACGAAGAGATTAATTCTGAGGTTCATCCTTAATCACCACACCGCCATATGGAATTTTGTGCTCAACAGCCATCTCAAAATCAGGTTCTTCCTTGAACGCCTTAGTTTCTCTTCCAACCATTAGATTCGGTTTCCTGTCCTGGGGGCCATTTGGGAGAATGCTATATATGTTGCCCATCATCCCAGTGAACAGATCAGGGACCACAGTAAGTCCATCGCTAGTCTGTACAAGGCGAAGGTTCTTTTTCTTGTATTTTGATTCCTGTCTTCTCTTTCTTTCTTCAAGTGTCTCTTCAGAATCGTAGTGCCACCTCATATGAGCTGCATGATGCTGGGATGTCGTGGAGATCTTGCTGCATCTAGGACAAGCGTATGGACCGTACTTCTTATAAGGTTGCCTCCTTTCTGCCGCAAAATCATGCCCTTGTCCACCTTCCACAGTGTGGTTGTGGCGATGAACACTTCTGTCAAGTCGAATTGGAGCTTCTACTAGATTGTTGCTGGACTCATTGAGGTTGAGATCACTTGAAGTTTTACCCAATTGGTCACCAAAAGGGATTTCAACATTTGCTGCAGGAAAACGCATGCTGATAGGTGAAGCATCTACAAAACCATCAGCTTGGTGCTCTTTAGAGTCGAAAAAATCTGAAGGATTAGGGGCTTTGTTTGGAGTTTGATGGCCCTGAACATTGTAAAGCTCACTTCTGGTGATCAAATCAGGCACACGATTAACATGATCTTGGCCCATGTTTACAAAATTTGATTGGTTTTGGAGGGCAAGATTACTGCTGCTTATGTCAATGTGCTGCCTGGAGACCATCGTGAAGACGTGTTCTCTGATAATGTGGCCATTGACTTGGACAACGCTTTGGAAAACAGCTGAATGGCCTGCCACTTGATGGGTGCCAGTCACGTTGTTGCGAATCCTTTTAGCTGAAGATAGAAATTGTTGATATCCACTAACTCGTTGGCTTACACCAAGTTGTCCAAAAGTCTGCCTTGAAGGATCATGCAAATGAATGTAGCCATTTTTGTTATAGGCAGCCAGTTGATTGCCCCCAAAGCCACTCTCTTGCACATTGTTCACCCCAGAACTTGCATGGTTTATCAATTGATGATTTACAAAACTTACATTATTAGTGCTGTCAAAAGTTGAGAACCAGTCTGCCATGGAGACTGGAGAGAGAGAGACAGAGACACAGAGAGAGAGGATAACAAAGCAGGAAAAGGGGTTGAAGAAGAGCTTCTTTAAGCAGAGGTGACACTTAGAATTGTGACTGGTGAGGTGAACTGCTATGGATTGTCTTATATAGAGAAGCTCTTGTACGTTTTTGTTTGTTTTGGCTTTGGATTTTTGGTAATTAGACTCTTCTCAAGTACCATAAATGCTGGATAAGAGTGAATCTATTTAGTAATGCATAGAGAGTAAGTAACAGATATGAAATGGTTGTTTGCATTCAATTCTTGGTGGTCATAGTTCTGTATCATTGTGCTATTTTTATCGATTGCTTGCCTATAAGGCAAGGAGTTAAATGCCTATGAAATCTTCCCAGGTTTTAGTTCAGATACATTTTGCCAAAATAAGGAAGATTGAATCAGATCCACCTATTGTGCTTATCCCCTTCCCACCTTTGTACTTATGAGCAATAATGCTATGTTTGACAAAATTTGTTTGGCCTAATTTATTTATCTAATTTTCTATCGTTGTTAGATCGGCGGTGGATTCTGTCCCATATTGGTTCTTTTGCTGATCCAACTATAGTAATAGATTAGATAAGTAAGTATACCAGGATTCTAAGTCTAAACAACATTATTGTTTTTCGAGTTGTTTGTCATTTTGCTCGAATTGAGTTTTTCATTTCTAAAAGACTTTATTACTGTAATAGATTTCACAAATTTTCCTTGCCCTTTTGCACTATTATGTAGTAGCATCCCTATATATCATTTTTAAAGTCAAATGTAACTCTGGATAATCATCTTCAGTTTGGTAAGGCACATTATGTAAATATTTGTAATTTAGAGTAGATTTCCAAAATCTCTACAATCTCATTCACCCCTGGTTTCTTTTTCTCAATGTAACTTTTTTGTCCCTTTGTTATCCACAACAAAGGGAAAATTACACTATATCGTTTAAATAGCCTGGGTCTTATAGTGCGCACTCAATTGTTAGATTTTGCATATTACACCTCCAACTAGGATTATTGGTTTCACATCATCTCATTTACAGACGTCGGTTACAAATTGGATGAAAAGTTATTTGTTTTGTTCCCAGACTTTGTAATTGTTTCATTTTGTTTTGATATCTAACAAAGACATTTTCCATCCAAAACCTTATAGGTGTTGGTTCCGAGGCAATGTTAAAGTAGTCCAAATAGATGGGAGCATAATGTGAGAAACTCAATAATTGAGGAGAGGGGGGTGAATTAAGATGGTTACCTTTTTCATATTTATATCCTCCGCCTAAAAATGAAGACATGAACAAGAGTTTCATGGAAAAATAAAAAAAAAGAGTCATTTTATCATATATGAAGAGATAATTTAAGCCTCTTTCTTAGGGCATTTTAAAAGCATTACTTTTTGGTTAAAAGGGGCTACAGTCGAAGGATACAAAGTATGATTTGCAAAAAGGGAAATAAAAGTTTATTTTCAGTTTGTGGATTAAAAAATCACAAAAAAATAAGAAAAATCTTGGGTTATTGACATTGAAGAGATTTTGGCAACCCGGGCTACACTACAAATAACAATAAAATGCTAGACATAGTTACATTTTTTTTAAAAAAGACTATATATAGGGATATTAGAATGAAAGTGTCAATAAACATTCATGTAATCTGATTACTGTAATAAAACTTTGTCAAAATAGAAGATGCAATTTGAATAGAAGTATTAACATTATATACTCCAAAAAGTTGAACAAATCGTATATAAAATATAAAGATGGGGAGGGCTAAGCACAATGGGTGGTTTTAGCATGTAACTTTGACCAAGTAAATCATGCTTCAGTGTATAAGTCACCACGTTACTAATAATCTTAATTGAGTTTGGATATCTCGGTTCTAGTAATAAATACTTGAATTTTAACCATAGTAGTCTCATAAGTGCTTGGTCATGGTCTAAGAAGGGAATTATTATGTTTTCCTGGTGTTTTTCTTAAAATTTAACTTTCATTTTAAAAAAGAGATTTTATTTTAGGAAGGGAGTTTGATTTTAAGAATGAAGTTAATCTATACTACTATAAAATGTCAACAAAAGTGAAAAATTTTTATTTGACTATTCTGTCTCTATAAAAATAATTAAAGACACATATATCCTTATGTATTTAATTATCCAATAAACCCTTCTCATTATGGGAGTAAAGATTCAATTAAAATTGTAATGAATATGTGCTTACCTATAGTTAGGCTTTTCATTTTCTCAACGTCTTCTTTGGATGTTATAAGATGGCATTGTAGTACTACAAAGTAAGGCATAAAATTGGAGTTCTTCCCATTCTACATTTGTAGCATTTAGTTATCTTATGTCAAGATTTCTTTTGTGACTTTAATTAGATGAATTATAGGTTAGATATGCTCTTTACAAGGATAAAAAAAGTGCTATACTATCAAATCCATCATAAAAGTTTCCTTCAAATGTAGTTTGGAGAAGTTTTCATAATGGATGTGTGACCTTCAAGGATGTCAAATTCAACTTCATTATTTTTCTTTGATGATTCAAGTTCTGGCCTTCAAATTGTCATGATTTGAACCAAAGGATGTAAGTAAATTGTTTTTTTTTGGTTGTATTTTAATGGTATTGATTGTGTACATTAATTTAATGCCAAAGCAAGTAATGTGTATTAAACAATGAAGTGAAATCCATGCTACCTAATAGAGTTAATCTCATTTCTTAATTCTTTGTTTAGCTTAAGACTTGAAACAAGGAGAAAGGATATTCTTAGTAAGAAGCCACACCACAATTTTTTTTGTTTTTTTGGGTTTCTTATCTCCTTGTAAAAGTATGAACCCAACTCTACCCCATATTGAGGTTAAAAATTCAGTTTTATCAGAAAACTGCAAATAATTTTCTTAAGGGTATATTTAGTTGTTTGTAAACTCAATTGATACATTTTCTTGTCAAACTTAACAAAAGATGTAACGAGATTGTTAAAATTAATATTGTGCCTTTGTACCTTCTTATGAACCATAGTGTTCGAATTTATGCTCTATTATTTCATTCTTATCAATCTATATCTATCTATTCATACTGCTATAAAATGTCAGCAAAAGTGAGATAGTTTAAAATGTCAACAAAAGTGACAAACTTTTGATTGACTATAATAACTTTAATAATAAAATTAATACCCATTTATCCTTTTAGACATGTGACCTTCAACTTTTTCAAATGCCTATACGTGTTAAAATATATTCCCTTTAATCTTTCTTTAATTGACTTAAATATTTACATAAATTATGTTAATTATTCCTAATGCATCTTTAGCCTTTTGTCTTCCACAACAGACACCTATCTTTTCTTCCATGTGACCTCATCGTCTTCTATGTCAATAAATGATTTGTGTGAATTTGTGAGCATATCACTATAGCATTAACTATTTATAAACCTTTCTTTATAAGTTTTTAAAAAATAGAGGAAAGACTATTCGATCTGCATAATCCTATGATTTGCAGAAATCCAATTTGTAGGCACTCTCAAAGATAATTCATTATAAAGAACCGAGAGCGGAAGCAAAATTTTGAGCCTTACCAGAGGCTTATGAAGTTACCACTTAGTACAAGCATTCCCGTGTAATTTTTCTTAGAAAAATCTTTCGAATTCTCTTTCTAATATCCTTAGGTGCTTGAGAATATCTTTATTTTGCCTTGTTTTTTATTTTCCTGTTCGGTGACGTTTATTACTTATAGAAATAGTGAAGTAGATGAAGCCAAAAAATTATTTATAATCATTTACAGAATTATTATGTCAACCTGACAAAGAAACATATAGATTACAACATGGGCTCTTTGATTACCTTTTTCATTGTTAAAATAACACTCATGCCCATGGTCATTCTAAAATGATTAAGTCTATCCCCTCTATGATATATCAAATGTTGTGTAAAAATGAATTTTGGTTACTGTAGACTTTTTGATGAATGCGACTCATATTATGACCACTTTTGATAAAAAAAAAAAAAATGGATAGTTGTAGTGTTAGAGTATGTGTGGCTCATATTTGCTGTGTGCATAATGGCAAGGAGGCAGATGCCGGAGCGGAGCCCGCGACGGCATCTCCTTGCGGGATTTATATAAAGGGGACGTTGATTAGTTGGGGGTGTGGGGACAACGCCCCCGCGGTACGGTACAGGGATATTTTTGTAAATACGTTCATATTAGGGTTATATAAATACTTAAGATGTAACCCTACTTCAATAATGAAAAAGAACGGTCGTTCGCTCTTGTGGATGTAGGCACATTGCCGAACCACGTAAATCTCTGTGTGTTATTTTCTTCTGCTTTCTTAATTATTTGATTCCTTACTATTCACCATAATTGCTGCACGATCACAACATGTAGAAAGGATTTCTAAAGTGCCTTTAGAACAAGAAGGTTGTCGTTGAGCTATGAAATGAGGTTGAAGAATTTGTTCCTCACTTTGTAATGCTAGGATTTGATAATGGGACATGGAAAAGAAAAGCAGCTTGTCATGTATCTATGATGTATAGGTATCATTAAATTCATTTTGGGACTTCCAATATTTAACTTGATAACGAAAACAAAATGATTTTCTTTTGCACTACCTATTTGAGCATTCGATTTTTTTTAAATAACAGTCTTATTAAATTTATCTCTTTCCCAATTTTCCTGATAAATTGTTAACCTTTTAGATAATAGAGAATGTGAGGAAGGATCATACATAAGCATTTAAAAAGGTGCCATCAAAGTCTTGGAATTATTTGGTCCACATGCTAGATGCGCAACTAAAATGAAGACTCTAGAACAACTAGCTTTACCAAAGTTGGTCTAATGGAGTTCTTCTTATGAGTGGTTTACGTGGGTCAGTGGTCTATTTATAACTTGCTTAGTTTTATGAAGTATGTTTATGAAATTTGTTTAAGTGCTCAACATTAGGTAAGCATTAGGGTTAATGGAATATTGTGCATGTTTTAGCCGATTAGATTTTCGTGTCAGATTTTAT